AGCCTGCAGTGGCCGTGGGTAACGTGGGTCAGCTGGCCGTCGACCTCATTGTGTCCACTCTCAACATGAGCAGAGTGGGCTACTTCCACACAGACTGCCTCATCCCTATGGCTGGGAACAACCCGTATGCCAGCGGCAAAGAGGATGCTGAGGAGCTGCACACTCCTGCAGAAGGTAGTACCAGATCTCTGGTAGACATCATTTGGAATCCACTGGATTGTAGATACTGTCACAACAGCAGATTTGTCAGACTTAGCAATGGAGGTTAAGTGTAACATGAACAGACTTTTCCACTGCTATTCAACATGCTCTACATATTAGTGTTTTATTTTGATGTTGGAAAAAAAGTATTTTTAATATCTCTCTTATTATAAGAGTTAAATTTATCTGCTGTATAAGTGGTTGTTGTTTTTGACCATTAATCCTGCTGCATGTTTTAAATCTGTCAACTGACTTTTATCCAGTTTACACAGAAGCAGAGCTGAAACTGGCAGTTCTTCAGATCAGAGCACCAATCATTCAGGTACATACTTGGCACCGTGTTTATTCTTTTTATGTGGATCTTCTGAAGTCATCTAATAAATAAGTCCTATAATGTCTCCTAAATTGATAATGTTGAGGATATTAGCTGACGTCACATTTGTTGTTGTGAATTACTGCTGGAACAAAAAAATGTTCAACAAACTCGTAGCTTCCAAGGTCATCATAGAGTTATTCAAATGTTTTATCAATATACAGTGGGGCCAAAAAGTATTTAGTCAGTCACTGGTTGTGCAATTTTTCCTACTTATAATAATGAGAGGGGTCTGTAATTTTCAATATAATTACAATTCAAATGTGAGAGACAAAATGAGGGGGGAAAAATAAATCGAGGGAATCACATTGTAGGATTTTTAAAGAATTTATTTGTAAATTATGGTGAAAAACAAGTACTTGGTCACCCACAAACCAGCGAGATTTCTGCCTCTCACAGACCTGCAACTTCTTCTTTAAGAAGTTCTTCTGTCCTCCACTCATTACCTGTTTGAACCCCTTATCTGTAGAAAAGACACCTGTCAAATGCCTCAAACACTCACACTACAAACTCAACCATGGCCAAGTCCAAAGAACTGTTGAAGGAAACCAGGACGAAAATAGTAGACGTGCACCAGACTGGGAAGAGTGAATCTACCGTAAGCAAGCAGCTTGGTGTGAAAAACTCAACTGTGGGGGCGATTCTAAGAAAATGGAAGACATACAGGACCACTGATAATCTCATACGGTTGGGTCAAAATGATCATGAGAACAGTAAACAAAAAAATCCCAGAACTACACTGAGGGTCCTGATGAATGACCTGCAGAGACCTGAGAACAAAGTAACAAAGGCCACCATAAGCAACACACTACGCCCAGAGGGACTCCAATCCTGCAGTGCCATATGTGTCCCCCTGCTCAAGCCAGTACATGTCCAGGCCCGCCTGAAGTTTGCCAGAGAGCATATGATGATCCAGAAGAGGATTGGGAGGATATCGTGTGGTCAGATGAAACCAAAATAATAAAAACCCAACTCGTCGTGTTTGGTGGAAGAAGAATCAGAGTTCCATCCCAAGAACACCATACCTACTGTGAAGCACTGGGGAGGAAACACCATGCAAAAGGGACAGGAAAACTGATCTGTGTTAAGGGGAGAATGAACAGGGCCATATATCGTAAGATTTTAAGCCAAAACCTCCTATCAGTGAGAGTGTTAAAGATGAAACGTGGCTGGATCTTCCATTATAACAATTATCAAACACACCTCCCGGGTAATGAAGGATTGGCTCTGTAAAAAGCATCTCCAGACCTCAAACCCATAGAAAATTTGTGGAGGGAGGTGAAAGTCTGTGTTGCCCAGCGACAGACAAGAAATATCACTTCTCTAGAGATCTGCAATGAGGAATGGGCAGAAATACCAGCTACAGTGTGTGCAAACCTGGTGAAGGCTTACAGGAAACGTTTGACCTCTGTCATTGCCAACAAAGGTTATGTTACAAAATATTGAGTTGAACTTTAGTTATTGAGCAAATACTTATTTTCCACCATAATTTACAAATAAACTCTTTAAAAATCCTACAATGTGATTACCTTGATTTTTTTTTTTTTTTTTTTATATATATATTTCTCATTTTGTCTCTCATAGTTGAATTTAACCTATGAATCTCTCATTAAGTAGGAACACGTGTACATTCAAAGCTGACTAAATACTTATTGGCCCAACTGTACAGACAATGTTTAGATTGTGTGTCTGGGTTGGTCAAGGTCAGGCTTCAAGCATAAAAACTCTTCAATAACAGTAAGACAGTATGTGACAGCATTTTGTTCACTGCTCTACACTTTGTTCTAACTCCAGACGAGGACTAAAAGGTTTCGTCAGCAGCTGGTATCGTGGATCAAAGCCAGCGGTTTCTCCAGGACGGTAGTTCTGTCCAGCAGCCATGCCTACCAGAGGGACGATCAGCAGCTGCAAGGGTAAAGAAATAAGCAATAATGTGTTACTTTGCTGAAGTTATTTACATACATGGCTGAAACCCCAAATTGGCTGTGGCAGGACTCCTCTTAGGTACCTGGTCACTCCGTCCCTGCTGACGGCGAGTGCAGATGCTTTTAAGGAGTTAAGCTGGAAGGAGATGGAGCGAATACCTGCATTTCCTGGAGTAAAGGATGCAGATGCAGAGCCAAGACTCTGCATCCCCGGAGGAGGCATCACCAAAGGACTTTACACAGACAGGTAGAGAAACAAGATCAATAAGACAAAATGAGAGCAGCTTTAGAAAACAACCAATGAAGTGAAAATAGATGGGTTTATTTTAGAAGCTTTTTCACGAATAACATTAAGAGTGTGCCCATTTTAACTCTGATACCCCTAAATAACATCAAGAGAAACTGGATGCCTTTTTTAAATAAAATTTCTCAATCTGTTTGTGTAATATGCTCTCAATAAAAGCAGCTGTTCTGTAATTGTTGTAAAAATGTTATCATGAGAACCAAGGAGCCTAGCAAACAGCAAGACTCTATAGCCATGTTTTGAATATTTTGGATTAAATAGAGCAAATCTGGCCTTTTTGGACAAGATGGAGGGGAAAAAAAGGGTTTGGTTTAAAAGAATACATTTAAGGGATTCAACAAAGGCTAGCTTCACACTGCAGCCTGAAGTGACCCAAATTTGATTTTTTTCTGATGCGACCCAGCTCATTTGGCTATGTGGTCCTGAAGCCGATACGAATCTGATCTTTTCAAATGCGACCTGTGTCTGAACGGCCAGGTCGCATTCATCTGACCTGAATGTCATTAATACCCGACAAAGGTCACTATTCTGCTTCTTGCTACGCAGAAGTGGCAAGAAAAACAACAACAATGGTGGACAATAATGCGGAGAGTAGTGTTAATGTTTAACTATCTTGGAAAGATGGAGTTTTTTAAGGTTGGGAAAGATCGCTAGATGTTCGTCAGCACTACCATTCAAGTTTTTACTTCCGTAAACACAGAGCAAACATAAGTGTTTGCAGCCTCATGCTGTGGGAACACAGCAGATGCATTATAGCTGTCAGAGGAAAAGGGACAATAGATTTATTTACATACAGGGCAAAACTAAATAAGAACCTGGCAGAGCTACTTATTCTAAAATGTCCTAATCAAAGTCTAGACCTGAAAGTAATTTGGAATTTAGCAAGAGTTGAAAAATACTCTATTGAACTGGGTTTGGATTCTTCTATATTGTCTGGATATGCACATCCGTACAACTTTTATTCGTTTATATTTTAGGGGTATCATTTGAAGGGGTAGTCTTACAAATTCGTGCTTTTGGAATACATGTTATACTTTTTTTGCTTTTCTTTTGGTGTATCATAAAAAAAAAGTTCTAGAGGGGGTGTTAATGCTTGGGTAATGCACATTGTACATGATTTAGTTACAGTTAAATCTTGTTCTTTATTAATCATAAAGTCCTATCACATGTTGATTTTTAAATCCATGTTTCTATGCTGTGGTGCTGGATGTGTGTGTAGCTGTGCAGAGAATCTCCCAGTGGCAGTGCTGCTGCTCTTCTGCTCTGAAGGCGACAACATTCCTGACGCGTTTGCTCTGGTCAACCACCTCAATGACTGGCTCCACCTGCTGGACGGTCAGGTAATCCTAATTGAAGCCGTTCCTATTAGTGTGGAGGAATAAAACAAGAAAAGTTTTTCTAATTGCTCTGCTCTGTTTTTCAGTGCCAAGAACCAAACAGCAAGTGGAAGATTCCAACTTCCTGGAGTCTGCTGTTTGGAGGCGGTATCCCTCCTGCACTTTTCTGATTGTTAACATTTTTATGCAAAAAGTAGCTTGTAGTAAATATTAAAATGCTATTTCTTTAAAGATGCATACAAATTATAATTAGTTTGAGTCTGGATACCAAATTGACATAAATCTTGATATTTGATGTGCCAATATTATGAGAATTATTCTCAAACAAGCACTTCTGTCACAGTTTCTGAGCATTTGAATATTTTGCAATAAAACATGACACTGGTGTGTTTGTTGAATGTGATAAATACCTGATTTCACTCCCCCTTGGCTCTGACCTATTCCCTGTTAACTGAAAGCGCTTGGCCCGCTGCCATCAAGTATTCCAGGCAGTCCAGCCTCCTTTGTAATTCGATCTGCAACTCTCGCTTCAACTGCTGAAATGCCTGCCAAGTCTGCGGTTTTTGTCCGTCTGTTTGCATCATTGTATTGGTTGCTGTGTGTGTCTTGTTATGGGAAAGGAATATTTTATAGAAAGGTAGGTATAAGGGGAAACCTGTTACATCAACATAAAGGGCTTCAGAAACCCTGAACAAGGCAGTAATAAAGCCTCCAGATGCATTACTTGTTGCTTAAAAGGAAATAAAACAAGAACAGATGCAGATTTATAGGTAAAATACCAGTTTTATTTTGAGTTTACACTCTAAACTTAAGACCATTAATTTCAAAAGAATTCTTGAGTATTCTGCAGCATTAAGATCTGTAACATAAGCTCTTTATTTGACTTTACAAGCAAAAAATATCTTTAATACACATCTTTAAAAAAAAACAGAGTACTATGTACATCATTGAAATATTTTCATGCCACTGTATTACTTGTGGGTGGAGGCAGTGCTTGTCTTATACCAAACCCAGCGTCACCTTAAAAACTTCAAGTAGTTTTTTATAAAAAATAGAACCTCTTTTGCCTCTGAAATTTTGTTTTTTTACCCCAAAAAATACCTGTATGAACAGCATTACAAATTGGCAATGCGTACTCCATACTTTCAGTCTTATGAGAGGAAACGAAAAGCAAAACGAGAGTAAAAAGCAGCTTTACCAGAGGCTGAGGTGAGGTCTGAGGAGGGGGTTTTAAAGCTCCTGTGTGAATGTCAAAGTGTCTGCTGTAAACAGTTAAGAGGAAAAAGCTGAGGAGGGTTCTGGCCGAGGCTTAAGAGGGGAAGAGTGTCGCTGAAGAACAGCACTTTGCTAGATTAAGACGAGGAGGGAAAAAAATAACATGGAGGAGGAAGAGCTGAGAAGTTTGGAGGGGTAGAGAGCTGGAGTTCCCTGCCGAGGCTGCCTTCGCTGCAAGAGCTGAAGTCAGGTGGAGCTGGTTAGCAGTCATTGGTTTTCACCCTGTCACAAGACACACAAAAAGAAGGGTGAAGGAGTCAGAAAAGTGAGCGCATGTGGGATTTCTATCTTGGTTCACTAATCATGTGAGACGTGCTGTCATATTAGCTAAATCGATGCATTAAATGCAGCATTTCACACTGTTGAAACAGAAGCCAACCAACTGAGCATGTTCAATTCAGACATCTGCGACGGGCACAGAAGAGCTCATCAATGTGAAGGAAATGGACATCTGGTTTTGTATTTCACAATCACAGCTTAAACAGTGACCACCTTTCAGGTAGTTATGCATATATTTACCAAGCAGATGGTCTAATTTACCTGGAACTACCCGGAAACTGCTGTACATGTAGAGCTAACTAACCAGACAGGATCCATTGCAGGATCACCACGATAATCATTTGACCTCAGAAAATTTTTTTTTTAAATCACTTTAGGATTTCTTTCATTGCAGTTTGTCTGAATACAGTTAAAAACTTTTATGATAAATAGCTTAAACAATCGCAGTGTTGCTTAAAACTACCAATGACTAAAAATAAATAGTAAGGGATTAGGCATAGGTCGTGATTGGAGTCCTAAAAAGCTAAAAGAATAATATAATGCTAATTTTAGCTGCAAAATATTCTGAAAATTCAGTAATACCGGTGGCTGATGCATTTTTGTTAATTTATTCCCCCTTCATAAAAAAATATATATCATATATATATTAAATATAATAATACGCAGCCCTACTTATGCTTTTTTTTTTTCATAGCAGGTGAGTGGCTAGGTTCAGACATCCCAGTGTGAACAGGCTTGTTCAAGGAAATTATAAAAGGCTAATTGTGGTAGAAGAAATTCATTGTGGGTTGACAACAAGGCCATTTTTAGATTTAGTCTGACAGCTTTGTATGTTTCTCAGAGCGTCCTCAGGGTGGACTGCAGCTCATAGTTTGGAGGAAACAGCAAATGAATAAAGACGGACCAAACTCAAGGAAATTTCAGACCTTCTCTGGATGCTCTGGGTTAAATCTAAGAACACTATTCAAACATTACAGTAAAAGACAGAAATAGTACCGTAAGGCATTCAGTCTATGATACCTGCTGAACTTTGACCTCTACTGAAAATAGCCAAGTCTAGATCTTTCTGCAGCAGCAGCTTCCACCCCGGCTGTGCTTACTACCACATGGTAGCACTTGAGGTTCACTGATAATATTTGTTTTGGTAAACTTGTCTAACTTCTTAAAGCATCTTTAGGAAGTCATTCAGTTGAACAAAAACAAAAAAAGAATGAATTTCATTGTAAAGAACATTTATATTCATCCTCTTGGGAGACAAAATATAACCGCTAAAGTAATAAATTCCCAGTTCAATCATTTAAAAGAAATTATCAAAAATCATGATAGGATGACAAGAGGGTTTTTCTGCAAGTTTTTAAACAACTCGTTAATCGTTCTGCTCCTCGGATTATGGTTGGATTTTAACCTACTAAACAAGGTCTCCTACTACCTATGTAGACATCACACAGCAGAGCACTGTTTACAGAAGTAAAAGATGTTAGCATCCCTGTGTTACGACAGTATTATGATCACATCATAACAAGACAAAATGTAAAAGAGGGTAGAACTACGGTATAAAGTGGTTTTATAGACTTGTGTGTTCAGAGAGCAAAAAACACTACCAGATATGTCCTAATTTATTGCCATATAAGGAAGGGGAACAAATCAGAAGATCAGAATAGGTGATTTGTCTTAAATATTTACAAGCAAAAGTCTTTATTTTTCATTTTAGGGGATGCACTTATATGAAAGACTGCCTCCACCACATGCTATAACCGATATTTGGACACTGAAATGTTAGCCCCAGCCCTGACATCTTTATCCCCATCACATGATCAAGTAAACAATGCATGACCAGCCCCCAACAGCCACTGATTGCTTACATTCAGACCAATACTGATGTTTAAAAATGACCATTTAATACAGACGATAATGCTGATATATTATGCACCCCATGATATTCAGACTTGATCAGGGAGCTTATATTATAAAAGTCAACTGGTTCAAACATTGTTAACAAGCAATATATGGCAATAAAGGATGATATAAATAACTCAAATAATTTACAGCTACATCAACTCAAACATAAATATACTTTATAACCATTTATCTTCGTGATTCATGAAAAGATTTAACTGCAGCTTAGGCAATGGATAAAGCAGGTGGAAATAAAGTGGAAATAAGAGATTGATTATAACATGGCATGCAAAGTTGAGTAATAAAAGGAGAATAGTGACTTTCACTAAAAAGTTTAAGAATAGTTTTTTTTTTTTATTATTATACTCTGAACCTCAGAGTTAGGAGCAACAAAAAAAAGCAAACACAAGTGTTTGATTTAGAAAATCATTTTTAGATAAACTACATTCAGCAGCAGCTGAGCAATACACATTCACTTTTTTAATTACATGAAATTAGTTTGCATAAAAAGCTTAGCCTCACTTAGAGTACTTTTGTGTATCACATTTGCATCCTGACTGTTTAGTTCAGCCTGACATTTCCGTTTTAAAAAGCATTAACCACATGTAAACACAAGTATGCACACACCATGCCAAAGTGCAGCCACAATTAACAACTCCAAACCACAGAATCACGCCAACACACACACACACCTCCAGGTACACAAGTGGGTGATCTTTTTCCACAAGCTGTGGGTAAAGTTCCTCCTCTAAATGTGCTCCTCGTGGTAGTTTCTGTCTCAGAGGGAAGTAAAGACAGGCTGCCCCCCACCGGACAGGCCAGCTCTTGTCATGTGCAGCAAATACACCCCAAACTGTCCAGGAAAACCACAACAGGAGAGTGAGACCTGATCAGAAACGATTGCACGTTTGTGTCGCTCTTACTGGAACACCACTGAGATATCACACAACAAAGGGAGGCTTCTGAGAAGTGACTTTGAATCTGTGCCGTCACCGGAGAGAATTGCTTGATCAGGTCTAACTGTAAGTCTTTAAAAGACAACAACACAAAGATGCCAGAAAACAAGACCGACTGGTTTCTTTCTTCAAAATGATTTTCTAAAAATAATAATTTAGTGTGTGTAAACAAAATATAAAGTGTACACAGCATACATTTTCTTTTCCTGTTTTCAAAGCAAACTAAAAAGCTAGAAAGGCTGATATACTGTTGATAGATTTTACACATCAGTTCTTTTTCATAAAGATGCAATAAACAGGATCTCAGTTTTTTTATTATCTACCCATTTGTATAGCCAACATCGCGCTGACATTTCATCTGACGCCATACACCAGTGCAAATAAATCAGCATCAGAAATAGCAAGTGGTTTTTGCCTCAAGATGTAATCACCTTTTTCTCTTCCTCTCCGAGTCAGTTGACCTGGACTTGCCTTGGGGTGTTTTGGTGTTGGCAGATTTGGAGATACTGTCTTCTCTGCGCCGTTTGCTGTGTAAAACAGAGGATAAAATGTGGTTAGGTTCTGTTTTTCTAGGCACCGCATAGAACATCCCAGATCTGCTTTTACATATGTATTTAACCACTTTTGACAACTGCCTATAAAATATTCTACATTTACTTTTTTTTTCTTTTATTCATTCCTAAAAAACTTATGTGTGCTGTATGAGAGACATGAATACTTACCAAAGTGTATTTTATATAAACTTATGCTATATTTCAAATTATATACCGCTAAATTGTTTTGCTCCTCTTTTGTTTTTAAATCCAACACGAGTTTGATCTATGATTCTCTAAATTAAAATACAGGTTGTTGAATGCAAACATTTTGATTGCATGTTTGAGCTTCAGCATGGAGGCAGTTTGATCTACAAGCATAGATAAAATAGCTGAATCAGATTTTCTTATTGGCTGTCTGTTGTAACATGGCCGCCTCATTGTCCAGTCAATCTCTGATGGATCAGTGAGTCATGATGACTCCTCCTCAGTCTGTCTGACTGAGGAGGTGAGAAGCTGCATGATCTTTGACGGTTGGTAGTGATAAACGTTTTAGTTTGCATTTTATGATCTGCTGTGTAACTATGCAAACCTTGGTTTTTAATTACCCAAGTATTTTTCATTATTTTTTACTTCATAACATCCAGTTTGGAGAGAAGCTGCCTCATTCATTGAAAGACATTCAGCCAAAGAGAAGCTCCTAATCCTAGTTCCACCAAGCCGAGGTGAAACTTTCGGAGCCAAATTAATCCAAGACCTGCAGGCAATCCTTCTCCCTCTCTTCAGCTCCTGCTCTGGTCCAGAAACTAGATGCTTCATTTCTTTCAACTTCGAATTAAGCTTTTAGAAACCTGCAAACCTATTTCATCAAACTCCAAGGAGTCCAGTAAACCTTGGAGAATCAGTTTTTCATTGTTATTTGGGAAAATTCTACCTGTATCAGCGCCTCAGAGGTAGTGATATGTAGTTTTCTACTTTTAAGTTTTGTTTGTCTTTTAAAAATACAGTTTAGACCATTTTAGAGAGAGTAGTAATTTTGCTCCTTTTATGCTTTAAGTTAAGACACAGAAGATCACCCAGTTTTAAGTTAAAAGCTTATCCTTTAAACATTTTTTCAATAAATTGTGAGACATTTATTTTCATTATTAAATATTATATAACATAGTTCATTGTTACTACATAGATTAAGATTAAAGGTCAGCAATCCCCATCAGTTTATGTAACCGGAATTTGAATACTGACTGTGTTGTGCTGCCATCCAGTTCCTGTTCTTTGCAGGAAGACTGTGTAGGTACTTTGCTGTCCTGTCTGTAATCTTCTGCCTCCTCCTGCTGGCCCCCCCTTTGGGTCCTATTGTTACGCTCTGGCGGACACCGAGCCTGAGGTTCTGATGAAGGCGGAGACTCTGAAAATGGCTCGTGATTTTCTTCAGACAATTCACGCCATTGGTTCTGCAGGCAGAGAAGTCATTTCAATAGAAGACATAGAAATATCAACGTAAGACGTAAAAACATTGTTTATTGATATAGTAATCCACAATCTATCTAATCTACTGTCCATTTGGCCAGAATCTTAATCCTCTTACTGTATCTATAAGGGAAATTGAGGTACTGCAACTTCCCCTTGTAGGTCAGACACTCCATGTTCAAAAACTGAATTTTTGACAAAGAAACCCACAGACACTCTTAAAAATAAGAGTTTTTTGCCTATAAAACATGATGTTCCAACTATTAAACGGCTCCATTTGGAAACAGGGGCTCAGTGGTAGAGCCGGTACATCATACATGGAGGCTAGAGTCTTTGATGCAGGTATCTCAGGTTTAGTCCCACTTCTTCCCTCACTTTCTCTAGGTTTCTTCCTGTCAACTTACTAAGGGAATGAACATCACTACATCTAAAATAATAGATAAAATAATCCTGAAATGACCAAAACCAAAAATGTAGTGGATTTCAAATGTAACATTTTAAATAAAATGTTGATTTATTTATTTTTTTTCCGTGACATACAAGCTTATCAACACAGACAAAAAATATCTAAAACTGAATCTTGTCCTGTTAACTTATTTCTTAGCATTTACCTATTTAAACAGAAGCACAATCCCTTCTAACTGGGAATCACATAAGAAAAATGAATTTATCACTGGTAGCTAACATTGATAAACTGCTTATATAAAACACAATAGAGTTTATTAAACCGTTTTCTGAACAGAAAACCTCATGCAGCAAATCAGAACCAAACATCACTCATGTTATAGATCATAAAATGTGTATCATAACCTGAAAATCAAAGGGATCTTAAGTTGAGGTATGAGAGTATTACCCCTACCTGTACAGAAGAGTCCCCCATGATGAATTTGGCTCCTTCAAGGACAGCCATGTAGGAAAATCGCAGCTGTTCAGGAGTCTGAATCAGACCCATGCGGTATTTCCTCATCTTTAACAAGATGTTTTTAATATCCACCGATAATGGGTCTTTCATTTTGTCCATCTAGAAAACAAAAGTACAATAACTTGGTTTAACTTAAGGGAGGAAGTTTGCGATGACTAAAAAGGAACACTCAAGATCAGTGCCGATTTATAATTTCAATAAAGCAATTAAAATAATGCAAGAAAATCTAACAAGGACAGATTACAGCTACCTATGGAAGAAGACTGACACAGTATGATAACATTAAGTGTTTCATTTTATTAGACAGAAGAGATTCAACGGAGAATCTTCTGGAATACAACATGAAGACTAAGGAACAAAGCAGACAGGTCAGGGATGAAATTGTAAAGTTAAAACCAGCTTTAGGGCAGTAAACAATATCCTACTCTTTGGTTGACCTTCTAGCATGATATGGTAGAGGTGCAAACCAACCAAGATGTAGCCGTCCACCTGAATCAACAGGTTGGTCAGGAGAGCGTAGCCAAAACGGCCACTGTAAAGATGGAGGAGCTGATTCGGCCCATAGCTGCTGATAGGTCAAATTATAGTTATACTCTCTATAAAGAGGTCCGAAGTCCAGAGTTAAATTTAAACTGAAAACAGATCTTCTAATACACTAATAAATCTGACTGATCAGGACCTTTTTTTTGGCAATATGTTATGGTTTGTTTGTTTTTTTGTTTTTTATGTGAACACACTACCCCAACATTATATTATCTAAACCAGATAGATACCAGTTTCATTTCCATTTTCATTTTAGTTTTTTTTAGTTTTGTTTTTATTTGAAATGTCTTCCACTTCCTTTTAATTCTGACCTACTAAACTAGATATCTTCCTGGCATATCTTTGAGATCTGAAGTTCAAAGCCAATGGTGGTTTCTAGGACTGAATTAGTGACTCAGGTCAGACAGGAATCTTAAATTAGAATAACTTTTATAAACTGATCTTTCACTCCAGAAAGCCTGACCAATTGCACTTATTGTTGCCTTTAAATGTTTAGAGCTGTACTTGTGTCCCTTTCAATTTTATGATTCTCTCATGTATTTCAATCATCTGTGCAGCACTATGGGTCCCTCATGGAATTTTAAAGCACTTTATAAACAAAGGTTTAAATGGTGTGGTTGCCTTAAGTGTGTGGGGAAGCCAGAGTCCTGAAATGACCTTAATAATAAACAAACCAACTATGAAACGACTTCTTTGTCCCATCTTGAAAGAGCAGGAGAATAAGAGCTAAACTACTGACATCTTAGGGAAGAACTGTTCTGTGAACTGTTATGTAAAATCATATTATTTAGAAAAATGTTTCACAAATATAATCTTTTTTTCTGGCAGTCGTTCAAGCAAAACCTTTTCTGACATTCAAAAAGCTACAGTAAACTAAGAAGTGCCTCCACCAGCTAATGTGTTTGGGTGAATATAAAAAGATAAACATTTATACCCTCAGAGGATCCAAGCAAATGCACTTACAAGGACGAGGCAGGTGTCCACTAGTGAGAACGTCCCTGAGCGTCCGATTCCAGCGCTGCAGTGCACCACAGCCGGCCCCTGATCCATCCCCAATGCTCCAGATTCCCGCACTTTAAAGAGGAAGTTTAGGAAGGATGCCGGGGATTCGGGGACACCGAAGTCAGGCCACGTGGTGTAGTGAAAGTGGTAGATCTCTCTCTTCTCCCCCGTCTATGAAAGGGAGAAATTTTGGAGCTAAAATTAGAAGCAGGAAATCTACTGCTGATTTCTATCAGTCCGTGTGAGGTTACAGAAGTCCTGTGAAGTGCAGAAATACTTTCAGTTTCTCCTTATTATCAGAACCCACATCTGATGGATATAGAAGTAAAAAAAAAACTTTTGGAAAGTTTGTTTTAATGTTTGCTAAATGTTTAGCTTGGTCATAAGCATAAAACACAATTACATACACAAGTTTGTTTATTCTATTAGATAGGTTTGGGGTTTTTTTGCATTTTTTGCTAAACTTTATTTAAAAAATTTAACTGTCAAGGAGAAGAAAAATAAGATTTGAGCAAGATGTTTTATTTTATCAAAATCAGACATGGTTAGCCTGCATTTATATTCAACCCTGTTTTGTCGAAATCATCTGCATAATATAATCCATTACAGCCAACAGCCATCAGATACCACACAGGTAGTAAACATAGTCACCCGTAGGGTAATATTTACTCAAGCTGAATGAGCTTCTCAATTAAGGTTTGTTGAGGAACACTGGTGAATAAACAGCATCATAAAGGCAGTGGAACACAGCGTACAGGTCAGGGAGAGAGCTATGTATAAAGTTAAATACACTGAAGTTAGGATTTTAATGTGGCAAATTCAAAATGTTTAAGAGATATAAATATAGTTTAAACTAGCATACAACTGCACTTAAATTATTAAGAAATTTCTGGTTAGAACACCTAAAATCCTACAACAACACTGTCACATCATCATCATCGGCATCATCAACGACATTCACACAACAGGTTTAAAAAGGTTTAGAAAAACAGGCTGTTTTGTTTCAATATTGTAATGTTATAATATTCAGATCAATGCAAATCAAATATGTGTGGTAAATAAAAAACAGAAACCTACATTAATGTTCTGTAGCTGCAGCACTCTGGTGGTGTAGTAAGATTTGGTGTCTTCTGACAACAGCTTGACCAAAAAACGTGTGTCTCTAAAGACCATCTCTCTCTCCTCTGCTGTAGGCCAGTACTGAGCACACTTTTCCTACAGAGAAATTACACATATATGTTTTAATTAATGGTGCAAATAAAAATAAACTTCAGAATAAAATATATGCTGACAACAAACAGGAGAATGCATAGGAAATGTTGAGCCAAGCTATACCAAAAACAACAGAAGTTTATTTATGTGACACAAGTACAAACCTAAATCTACTCAAGTACACCTTCAAATGAAGCAGTTTTGTATAAAAAGAGAGTGACCTGAAAAGAACTGCAAACATTTGAGCATTTAGTCTGGAGTTAAACCAGAGGTCAGGTCTATAATAAGACACGAAACAGGAACAAGAATATATTAAAAGGGTAAATTATTCAAGAAATCTTGTCAATGAAAAAAAAAAAAGAGAGAGAGATAAAAAACAGATTAGATTCCCTTTTTTTGCAGTCATCTATTAACTAGGTGCTCTTTATCATCCATTTCCAAGAAACAGTCATCAAGCAAATCTCATGACAAAGCGAGAGCCAATTCAGCTGCTTTACTGAGAAAGATCACAGCTGTGCTGCCAGGAAAAGGATTTAATCTGCAGTATGCAGGATCCACTGGAGCTCCAGGAGGCAGATATGATACATCTCTCTATTGTTGTTTAAACAATCTACAAATAGGACAATCAAAATGGAGGTTTCATGATTTTCCAGTTGGATGGACAACATTTGGAAGGTGTGAACTGGAGTGAGACAAGTTGACAATATAGCTGTAGTCTGTATCATGTTAGATACCAGAATCTCTGCATGGGCAGAGATTTTTTCCTCCATTCTGTACTCACTGATCCCTTCTCTATCACCCTGTTGAGCATGATGACCGCCTTCGTCTTCTGCTCCCAGATCATGAGCCAAAAGTGGCCACAAGTGTTCCTGAGGGGGCCCTGTGGACAAAATAAACAGTACAGTTAGATGCGATGTTTCTCCAATAAGCAATGCCATTATCTATACTTGTTAGCTGCAGAAGCAACCTTCTCACTTTGAGTGCTTTTTCAGCAGTTTAATAAATCCACTGCATGTACAGAATATATGCAGTGTAAAATTCAACTCGAAAATTTTTTTTGTTAGTTTCTTTTGTTTAAAATCATAGCCTTTGCCTTTTGGCAGTGGTAAAACCTCCATGCAAATATTATATGATTTCATGAGGGACTACTTGACAACATTTGCAGATGTATATTCCATAACCAGCACTGACACTGCAGTTGAAGTACACATACACATAAAACCCCAGTGAAAGTAATGGTTCAAGGTTTTTTTTTTTTTTGCTGGATAAAGGCCAGAACACACCAAATCCCATTTTGCGTCTGATCAGACAGAAAATTGTGTCGGATGGGGTCATGACGTTCAGCACTCATTAAAAGTCAAAGGAGATGATCACACCCGACACGATTTTACGCAAAGGGGCCTGCATAGGTCCGACTGATAGACCCCAGGTCTATTTTAGTCAGACTATGCAGCAATTCGGCAGTTATTTCATGGGTCTGAAAGTAAGAGTAAAACACATCCTCTTTGGGGGAAAATACAAAAAAAAAAATCCGTTAATCACACAGGGAAACAGTCAGTTTTGAAGTTGCACATTGTGTATATAGAATACCTATGATAGTAGTTCAGGAGGACAGAAAGTGCACTTTATCAATCTCCTCGGAAGAAAAAATTGAGAAACATTGTATTTCTGATATAGTCTAGGCATATGAACTTTTACTGTCTGTTCTGGTTAGAAATGCTGAACAGGCTCATTAAGTGGAGCTTTGTCATAGAATGCGCTGGTGGTTTTTAATAAATTTTTCTAAATAACTTTTCATAATCTGTCCAAGTCAAATGTGGGAAATTGTTTTCATTTTTGTGGCACAGAGATAATAAAATAAGTCTGCGCAGATCTGGCCACCCTGCCTAGATTCTCTGTATGCAGTCCGTGTGACATGGAAAAAAAAATTGGATCGGAGATTTAAAAGTCATATGCAGCCGGTGTGTTCTAGCCTTAAAGGTTCAGGATAGGGTGGTGGAAACATACCTTCTGATAACTACGCAAAAAAAAACTTTACAGGTCATGGTGTGGTTAAGCACACTTGAGATTTATGTAATAATAATAGTTATTATTGATATTCAAACATTTAAATTTTTTCCCAAACAGATCATCAAAACACAGTTTTGGAAAAACTACAGTGGCAAAGAGAAGAAGATACAGATAACACTAAAGACCACAGAGATACCTGCATTATTTACACTGTACTACTTAAGGAAAATATATATAAAAGGGATTTCCTTTTAAAGCAAATAAACAGTTTCTTTAAACAGTTTTTTGTCAATTTCTCTTCTTTTACGGGACTTTAACCACTTACACAAACCACAGATGACTCATTTCAGAAGAACGCACAAATGTTTAAAAAAAACAAAGGAAAGAAAAGGGCTGCCAAACTGGGTCAAGTTACCCCACAGATTTTATGAGAAATATACCACAAAATATACCACATTAATGTGACATATTCAAAAGAAAATGTTTTAATAAAAGATGAACTTGAAAGCGAATGAATAGATAGAAAATAATCTTAAAGCAACACTGCATAAGTGTCATTTAAAAAAATTAAATTGTCTAGAGAGCTGTTCTTAACGAAATTTCTTTTTGTTTACACTTGTGTACACAAAATGACAAAATAAATCTGTCTAAGCCTAAAAAGTCTGAGCATAACTTTTGACCACACTATTAGCTTAATTTGAGATGTATTTCATTATTTTTCAGATAAAGGTGCAGAACTTGGTGTATGTCGATGCTCCATTCAGGCAGTTTTTCTCAAAAACTTGCTTTGTAACCTAAGAGGGTCAGATCCGTCACTGAATGAGTCATGTGACCTAAGCACAGTCGTCACAGAAACAACTTGAATCTGAAAAAGCCAAGGCACATCTTCAGGTTCACTGATGGAAAAATGAAACTTATCAAGAAAAGAGCACTGTCTCTAATGTTAAACAAGGAGGCTCTGTTATGCTCCGGGGCTGTGTTGCTTTATCTGGCACAGGGTGTCTTGAATCTCTGCAGGGTACAATGAAATCTCTAGACTATCAATTGCTCTAGAAGGAAATGTGCTGCTCATGTAAGAAAGTTTTGTCTCAGACGCAGGTCATTGGTCTTCAGAATACTTACCCACAACACACAGATAAAAACACCCAAGAAAGGCTAAGAGTAAGACGCTGGACTATTCTGAAGTGGTCTTGTATGAACTAAATTCTGTTGAGCATCTTTGGAGGGAATTGAAACGTGCCGTATGGAAAAGGCTCCCTTCAAACCTGAGATAACTGGAGCAGTTTTCCAATGAGGAGCTAGAACTGAAATACCTACTGAGAGGTTGTGTAACAAAATGTTAATTTATGGGCACCATCATTTCTGTCCATTTAATGAGTTTATTTTCTAAATCATTCTGTTGAAAATGGTTGAAAAACAATGTCTGGCTTTCATGTTGTTATTTTAATAGAATTTTATTTCTTCTTATTTTTTTGCAAGATTCAAGTTATTCCTGTGACCATTGTGGGTTTTTTCCTTCATAAAAACAGTTTTCTTCACACTTGTATGTACTAGAGAATCAACAAATTCAGGGGAAAACAATTATTTTAGATAAAATGCCAAGAAGTCATACAAATTTTTTTACCAGGTGGTGATAGAAACTATTTATTAAAGATTAACAGTTATAGTTTGTCAGTTTAACTCCAAAAAATAAGGTATTTCAATGCTACTACTTTTCAAATTAAATTCTAGAGATAAATTAGTTTATATTATTTTTGCAATTTCAGACCAGAGTAACAGATTTAGTTCATTTATAAAATTGCATAATGAAATTGTGAAACAAGAATGAAAATATCACGAAAGCCTTAAATACAAACCTTCATTCAAATAAGCAGTTATTTTAAAACTATAATTATTTTTTGGCTTAAGTGTTACTTGCCTGTGTTAAAATGTAATTTCTCTGGGCGTCTTCCATGACCACCAGACTTGCGTTGATGTAGTCATTTTCTGTGTTTTCCAACTTGACTCGACTGTGATCAACTGCAGGGCGAAGGGGGAAAAAAAATATATCTTACCACCAGTTATAAATCAACAGATGTAGTTAAGAGATAAACAGGCAAGGCAAATGTTTACCCACATGGACTGACATCTCTGTATCTGTTGCGGTTGCGATTTTCTGGATACTTTGCCACTTTGTAAGAGCACTCATGGGATTGATTCCTGATTTCCTGAACACCAGAAAAATGGTTTCACATTTAAAAACACAAAAGGAAAAAATAAAATTCAATGCTAAAAGTTATGTTTTTATCCTATTACGGTACTTTGGGACCAAATACAACACCAGCATCACATCTTAAATTTTAACATCCCATCCCAACCTGACCAAACTCTTCCGTCCTTCAGAAAATTGGAAATTGTTTCTACCGTAATCTTCAAATTTAAATGTTTGCAAGCGAATAAATTTTTTGAATCTGCAAATGTTTTGTCTTGTGATTTCTTTACTTATATTTTGATATAACAAACAGAAACAATTAGCTGAATAAAGTTGATTATATAAAAAAAATATATATATTAAAAAAAAAACAATTAATGAGATTAATTCTACCTAAAAGAGAGATTAATTCTAACAAAAAATGTTACAACTCATGTTAGGTCAAACTTCTGACTAAAACTTGACATACATATCATTTTTATCTTTAATGTGATTTTTTTTTTTTGTAATCACAAATATGAGTCATAGTTAATAATTCATATAATTTCCAGCCAAAGCTGTGCTGAAACATGTTGCTAGACATCAGTCACAGACCAGTTGGACAAAGCTCACAGATTGTTGTGTAAACAAAATCAGACAACTTCACGCACTCAGCTGGCCTTCCTTAGACAGACGGCCCTTTCACAAATTGGCATCATATGATTAATTTCTTTTTTCTCCTCTATCACAATGTTGATCTATGCAATACCTAAATAGAAACAGACACACCGTTTGTTAAGTGTTTAAACTCTTCATTGCCAACAGTGTATTTCACCACTCTACCGATTTTACCATATTTTGTGCAAACAAGAGGAAAAAGTACTGAGACCCTGCTACTGACAGAAATACACCACAAAGGTGGATCAGAGCTATCCTTACCAAACCTATGAAGACCCAGCTCTTCAGGGACCATCTCTACTGCCCTCTTTGATTATGCACATTACTTGCACAGTCCTCTCCGCTACCTCTGACAAAACTTTAGTACAGGTATTTCCTCCAAATAGCTTATCTCTACCCCACTGACACCGGTGAACATCCAGGGAACAGACATTGAGATAGTGGACTCGTTTGAGTCCTAGGTGTTCATTTGAATAACAAACTGAACTGGACTCACAATACTGATGCTCTGTATAAGAAAAGTTGGGGCAGACTCTTCCTGCTGAGGAGACTGGGGTCTTCTGGAGTGCAGGGGGTGCTCCTAAGGACCTTTTATGACTATACTGTGGCATCAGCCATCTTCTAAGGCTGTCTGTTGGAGCAGTGGCTTATCTGTAGCTGAGAGAAAGCGTCTGGATAAGCTGATCAGGCAGGCCAGAATTGTGATTGGATGCCCTCTGGACTCGGTGCAGGAGGTGAGAAACAAAAGGATCCTAAATAAATGAACATGGATAATGTCTCCCACCCCATGCATGAAGGTGTTGCAGAACTGTAGAGCTCCTTCTATGAAAGACTGCTGCACCTTAAATGCACCGAGCGTTATCACAGATCCTTCCTCCCATATGCTGTAAGACTTTAAAACCACCACTGTGCCCAGCAGCCTCAATAAGTTGTTACATTAATTCTGATTTTGCAGTTTGTACCTAAAATCAGTTAAATAACATGATGCTGTCATTTTGCACATCTCAGATGTTGTTGCTATTTTCAAACACCCATTACTGTAAAAATGTCCATAGCTGTATAATGTTTTTTTACTCTCCAGGTGCACAGTTTTTATATTGTTAAAACACGTTCTAGTACAGTATTTTACTGTTTATCTTTTAACTTTTCACTATTATGTTATTGTTATATATTTTTCTAAGGTCCACATTTGTATGATCATGTTTTCTATAATCTTTTTGCTGCTGTAAACACCAGAATTTCCCCTTTGTGGGACAATAAAGGGGTTTTCTATTCTATTTTCTATTCTGTGATATTTAACTTTAATATTGACTGAATTATATTTATATCTGTTAGTTTATTTGAACAGAAATGTATTCAAAATGAAAAAGAGTGAAAAAAAATTATTAACAATTAAAATTTCCTAGTATTTAATGTTTTTCTCCCTAATCTCTAGCATCCCTAACCTTTAACTGTAGTTCAATTTCCCCACTAAGAGAGGAATAAAAGCTTATTCTACTCTAGGATCAAACTGTATTAAGTTAATAATAATCAGAGTAAACCACAGTAAAGTAAACTTTTTTAACTTTAGATTGAGTTACAGGACGATTAATTTGACTTTTATAATCGTTTGACATGTAATCTGCATTGAGATGACATTTGTTTTTAAATCGCCTCAATATAAACAAGTTAAACTGAAAACTAAATTAGGCTATTTGTAACCCTGATAAACGAAACCTAAATGCACCTTACTCATTTTTAGCCTACGTCTATTAAAACTAATAATGGCTTATTTACTTTTACGGATTTAAATCAAAGTAGTCATCAATGAAATTGTAAACAAAAAATGCTTACAAAACAACGGGGGGTAACAATCTAAAAACACTCAATTCAATAACAAAACTAGACAAAACAAATTATAGCGTTGATCTTGAGTAGTGTAGAATGAAGGAAAAACATGCAGTTAATTACAAAGGGCTAAAGCCCGTACGCTCAGCTTAAGCTTCGTCTCAAGACACTACGCTTAATATTAAGTGATAATATAAGCCTTAATTATCTTGTAATAGAAGAAAGTTAAATGAGACAAAACAAAAAGTGAAAATACAACTATAGACACCAGCGTCACAGTCGGTGTAGGCAGCAAAATGCGCGCTATCAGTACAAGCCGTGTTAGCTCCACGCTAGCTAAGCTAACACACTTACAGAGTAAAGCTTCTGCCACCGGCCTTTAGAGTCCATGTCTTCAAACTCTTGGTCCATGTTCACAGTGGCAGCGCCTGTCTGTTCCATCCGAAGTCGGTTTTGTTTTATGTTTTTTAACTATCTACCTCATAACGTTGTCCGAGTAAGATGAGTCTTTAATCTCAGACTTAAGCCTTCCTGCGTTAGCAGCGGCTTCTATGCCGACTCTGTTTGTCCGTTATGTGGTGCAGTTGTCATTCGGGAACAGCCCCGCGCGCATGCGCATCTGAAAAGTGTCAAACAAGTAAATTGGAAATTGCGTTTCATTTCCGGGATTCGACTCATTTGGTTCCGTTCACCAAAATGAACTGTGTTAGGATGTTTAGGGGGCTAGGACAAAGCGTTTTGTTAAAATAATTATGTCAATAAGGTAATAACTATATTGTTAAAAATATGTAATTAAAAGTAGCATTATTGGATTAGCTATTTCGAAGAGAACATGGAATTGGTCCTTAAACATTGTGGACTGAAGCTCAGAAGATTAATAATGATAAATCATATTTCTAAACATTTTCTTTAATTTTTATATGCTTTGAGTTTCAACACTGGCTCTTAAAATTTTAATAGCATGCATTTATCAAACATGCATACAACTGCAGAGTAGTTTAGGGTAGAGTAGCCAAAAATTGTACTCAAGTAAAAAATGCACTACTTCACAATTATTTTACAGAATTAAAAATAAGTAGTAGCCATCCAAGAAAGTACTAAAAAAAAAAAAAAAAATAGAAATACTGTATTTGATAGGAAGGTCACTCAAGTAACTGATAATAACACCTGATTCATATTTAAAAATGATATAGTAGCCTTAAGCAGAGAAAAATACCAAATAGAATTTTACAATTGGCAGTCAAATACTGCCAAAAGTATTTGGTCATCTAATAATACATTTATATGAAATTTCTTCTACATCCTATTCTTTATTTATAGGGTCACTTTTGCTGGTGGAACCCCACTCCCACCAAAAGAAAAAATCGCTATTCTATAAAGATATACCTCAAGGTTTGTGGAGGGGTTTATATTTACTGTACATGTGAAAACTCAAATTCAGTGCTCCACACCGGTTCATCTTAAATGTGGTCTATATAGTTAAGGTCAGGACTCAAATTGCTGTACACTAAACTGTATCCATCAGCACCCATGGAAGCGAATAGTATGCCCAAACAACATAGCTTGAGTAGAAATAAATAAGTCTCCCTTTAAGATTAATTGTAAGTGTGTATCTCTACTGCTGCAGTTTGGCCAAAAAACTATTTTCTTTATTCATTGAAGTATCGCACATAGGTTAGCGTAGCCAGAACTTTGGCTTAAGTTGAAATTACAATACTTTGATATAATACAATGTAATTAAAAAAATAGAAAAGTACAGTTCTGCAAAACTATTCCTAAAAGTAATTTATTTTACAAAGTTTCTCACGTAAACATAACTGAGTAAATATAATAAGTTACTTCCCACATCTATATTCAACATGAAAGCACATTCATGTATTTTAATGAGATATCTGTATAAAAACAAAAACAAAAATTGTAAAAGCCTTAGTTTGAACTATGGATCATCGGGTGGTCTTGATTGATTGATTGATTGATTGATTGATTGATTGATTGATTGATTGATTGATTGATTGATTGATTGATTGATTGATATACTTTATTGATCTCACATTGGAGAAATTCGCTTGTCACATCGCCTCTATAGTCAAAAAGAAGGTGTCAAAAACAAGGAAAACGTGCATGAGGTATATAAAGTATATGCAGTACGTCCACACACACACACATACATATATATATATATATATATATATATATATATATATATATATATATATATATATATATATATATAATATATATGAATGACCTGCGGCAGCGCTCCTTTTCACAAACAGGGTGTAAGTCTTTCACTAAAGGAGCTGCAGCTATGCTTTTACCCCTCATCATTCATGTCTGACATTAGCTATTCCTGTTTCAGTGTCCTAGGGAGTGTTGTCACTAAGTATCTTTGTGTTTGGTGAAGGATGAAAGGGATATGGCCTAAAGAAAAAGGAGGAGAAACATTAATATAGTAATTGTGCTAGAGCCAGCCAAAATAAAAAAAAAATTCTGTAAATGCTTAGGATTCTCCACTGTTTGTTCAAGTAACAAGAATACTTGAATTTCGACATGAAACATTTATTAATTAACCATCAAACCACAGTGTTCAAATTGGTTCCAGGATTGGGAAGGAAATGGACCCAGATAAACTAGCCCTTAGAAATCTATGCATGAGAAAATTATCATGTATCATGATGTAATTAATTATTAGATCATGATGTATCATTTGTAAATGTTTTTGTTTCTACAACTACATAAAATCTTTAAGGGGGAGAGTTTTTGTTGAAAATCTGTAGTTGCTCACTTCAAGTAGAAGTTCTGCAGAGCTTTTGGGTTATAAGGACATCTGTTATCCAAGCTCCTCTTCAGGCGATCTCACAAATTTTACTTGAAAATGTAACCCTGGACTCCGATTAGACCATTTCAAAACTTAATATTTACATAGTAGAAGATATTGTTATTTCCTTATTGTGATGCAAAACAATCTTTCAAATAAAAACATCAGTTTATATTGACTTCTCTAGCACAAACCCGTAAGATTTGAAGTCAAAACTGACTGCTAACATGGAATTGAGGCTGACTACTAAATTCTTAAAAATAACTTTTAGATAGTTTTTTTTTCTTTATTTCAGTCAATTCATTCAGGAAAAGAAAATACCAAATGTAAGAAATAGAACTGTAAAAAAAATAAATATGTATTTTACATATTTCTGTTGGTAGTAGTTCTTTTTCATCTCTCACTTTTACTGCAGACTTAATGTCTAATGCTTAAATGCTGAAATCCTTCCTCAGAATGATGAGTAACATTCACAGGGATCAAATGTAAATCACTGGTGTCAATTCTGGCTAATCTTGATGGAAATATATGTGGGTTTGTCTTTTAATTTGATCCCAGAACATTTACTTGATGTCTTCTGTATATTGTTGATTAAAAACAACCTGCAAAAAACGGATCTCCCTCACAAATACTCATTGTATTGTTTTGTATTGTTTATCAATAGCTTTGGCTGCTTTAAGGTCAGGTTAAAGCTTTTGGATGAATCCTAAATGAAGTGGAATGTAGGCTTGGGAAAATTACAGGTGCTGGTCATAAAATTAGAATATCATGAAAAAGTAGATTGATTTCAGTAATTCCATTTAAAAAGTGAAACTTGTATATTATATTCATACATTACATACAAACTCATATATTTCAGATGTTTATTTTGTTTAATTTTGATGATTACAAATGACAACAAATGAAAATCTCAAATTCATCATATCAGAAAATTAGAATATTGTGAAAAGGTTCAAAATTGATGGCCCCTGGTGCCACACTCTAATCAGCTAATTAACTCAAACCACCTGCAAAAGCCTTTAAATGGTCTTTCAGTCTAGTTCTATAGGCTACACAATCATGGGGAAGACTGCTGACTTGACAGTTGTCCAAAAGACGACCATCGACACCTTGCACAAGGAGGGCAAGACACAAAAGGTCATCGCTAAAGAGGCTGGCTGTTCACAGAGCTCAGTGTCCAAGCACATTAATAGAGAGGCGAAGGGAAGGAAAAGATGTGGTCGAAAAAAGTGTACAAGCAAGAGAGATAACCGCACCCTGGAGAGGATTGTGAAACAAAACCCATTCAAAAATGTGGGGGAGATTCACAAAGAGTGGACTGCAGCTGGAGTGAGTGCTTCAAGAACCACCACACACAGACGTATGAAAGACATGGGTTTCTGCTGTCGCATTCCTTGTGTCAAGCCACTCTTGAACCACAGACAGCGTCAGAAGCGTCTAAAGAGAAACAGGACTGGACTGCTGGTGAGTGGTCCAAAGTCATGTTCTCTGATGAAAGTAAATTTTGCATTTCCTTTGGAAATCAAGGTCCCAGAGTCTGGAGGAAAAGAAGAGAGGCACTTCATCCACGTTGCTTGAAGTCCAGTGTAAAGTTTCCACAGTCAGTGATGGTTTGGGGTGCCATGTCATCTGCTGGTGTTGGTCCATTGTGTTTTCTGAGGTCCAGGGTCAACGCAGCCACATACCAGGAAGTTTTAGAGCACTTCATGCTTCCTGCAGCTGACCAACTTTTTGGAGATGCAGATTTCATTTTCCAACAGGACTTGGCACCTGCACACAGTGCCAAAGCTACCAGTACCTGGTTGAAGGACCATGGTATCCCTGTTCTTAATTGGCCAGCAAACTCTCCTGACCTTAACCCCATAGAAAATCTATGGGGTATTGTGAAGAAGAAGATGCAATACACCAGACCCAACAATTCAGAAGAGCTAAAAGCCACTATTAGAGCAACCTGGGCTATCATAACACCTGAGCAGTGCCACAGACTGATCGACTCCATGCCACGCCGCATTGCTGCAGTAATACAGGCCAAAGGAGGCCCAACTAAATACTGAGTGCTGTACATGCTCATACTTTTCATGTTCATACTTTTCAGTTGGCCAACATTTCTATAAATCCTTTGTTTTTATTGGTCTTCAGTAATATTCTAATTTTCTGATATGATGAATTTGAGATTTTCATTTGTTGTCATTTGTAATCATCAAAATTAAACAAAATAAACATCTGAAATATATGAGTTTGTATGTAATGTATGAATATAATATACAAGTTTCACTTTTTAAATGGAATTACTGAAATCAATCTACTTTTTCATGATATTCTAATTTTATGACCAGCACCTGTATATTCCTCAGGGGCCACTAGGAGGCTTTCTCACCACATGATGAACGCCAGTAAGGGTCAAGCTAAAATATACGAGTAGGAAAACTTTTTCCGCCTTAACATTCTGTTTCACAAATAAAACCGTAAATTTGCCTCAAGTAGATAGATTTTAAATGCGTTTTTTTTTATTAATAAGTTAAACACAAACACACACATACCTATAAAAAACTGTTTAGATATCGAAGTTTAAGTACGATTTTTCTTGGAAGTTGGAAATGTGTGACCGTATTTACCGTTTTTTTGGTTTTGTTTTTTTTACAATAAATTGCAATTTCACAATAAATCATGTTCAGTTAGCTTATTATTAAAGAAAAATAATAATATTTCTGTTCTGTACGATAGATAGATAGATAGATAGATAGATAGATAGATAGATAGATAGATAGATAGATAGATAGATGAGTTTGACTCTTATTTTGAAAAGCAAAACTGGTCCCTAACCGGAAGTACCCGTGTTATTTCGGTTGGTGACGTTGCTTGACCACAGCGGATTCATACCTTGGCTGAAGTTTTGTGTTACACACTTTCTACCACGGCACTCTGTGTAATGGCGACCGAAGGGCCGTCTTCTGTGGTAAAGTAACTTCAAATTGGACGGAATAAAACAGTAAGTTACAGTCACAATTAACTTTAACGCCTAAATTAGCTGGGATTTAGTCAGTATCAAGAACCCCCCCCCTCCCCCCCCCCCTCTCCTGGGCTGTTTAGAAGCTAGCCTAGTTAGCATGTCCGTTTTCTTCAAACTTAAATCTCGACGGAAAACAGAAAATTAATTATCTGTATCCTTCATGGTGGTTCGGAGTAACAAAATTAAAGTAAAATGTGAATTAAATCGTTTTTTACACGATGAAATATCCCCACATAGCTGTTTAGCGCTAGCAACTCTTTAGACGGTTAAAGTTAGTCATTATTAGCTTTCTGCTACAAATCTGATGCGATGCTAATAGCAGCTTGGAAAGTGTCATCATTTTCATTTCCAAAACGATGTAAACGTTCATATTTATTTGAGTAGTTGCAGCCCTGTTGTACTACTACTTTGACTGTTTAGCAATTGTGTTGAACTTTTTTTTAAAATCCTTTTCCAGTTCAGTTTTGTTTTCAGAGACATGGCTGATATAATCGCGTTGTTTTTAAAATTCTTAAAACTCTATTTTTGACATGTTGTCTTTTTATTGCGCTAAAAACACACAGTATGCGGTGTCACATCATTTCGTTGCATCAATTTTTCAATTGAATATATATGTTTTGTGGTTCCACTTTGTTTAGTATTGTGTTCATTTAAACCATCTTCACTAGGTCAAAATTACATAATCGTATCATTACAACATATTGAAACTGACCATGATCCGTTTGCGTGATAGTTGGACTCATTTCCAGTTTGTTAACAACATATCCAGGGGTATACGTTTTTTGGATTGGTACCGATTCATTTTATCTATTATAACGGATGTGATGTGTTCCAGATAACACTCATGTGTTGCAGGATACTTGACAAACCTCGTAATTTGGAAACAGACTAATTTTATGAAACTTTTATCCACTCTAAATTGTATTTTGTTGGTTAATGGGTTTATAGATTTTTCAGTGAATCTTAACAGAGGAGTTGTTCAGCCCTGTTCTTTAAGACCAACTTCCTTGGATGTTTTTGGCCTTTTCTCTGCCTCCACACTCTGGATTGGGTAAATTAGGGATTAACAAACCTCTGCAGCCATTGTTGCCTGAGGTGTGCTGGTGCAAACTCATCTAATGTATGCAGGACAATAGGTTAAATACCCCTGGTGTAGTGTACTTTTGAGCACCCTGGTTGGAAAGGTGCTATGTCAGTAAAGGCTATTTCCTCCTTCCTTTGTTTAATCTACTTTTTGCTACCTTCTTTTTTTCCATCCATCCACCCATCCATCCATCCATCCTTACTTACTTACTTACTTACTATCTGAATTCAATCTTGAGACAGTCATTATAGTGTTCAACATCACCTACTTTTTATTATTTGAATTCAATCTTGAGACAGTCATTATAGTGTTCAACATCAATACCAAGGTTATTAAGATGTTTTTATTTCTCAGACTAAAAGTATATGTATTGTTAAATATAACAAGTGTTTTCGGGCTAATTCAATTGTTGGAACAACTTTTAAGAGCTCACTAAGTTTGGGTTATTCTTGCCTCTAGTTGCATAGTTTATTTATGTCCTTTAAACAAACTTTGAAATAAATTAAGAAAAAAAAAAAAAAAGACGTTGGTTTTGTAAAAATGTGGCACATTTAGGCAGCTGAGGTGCATGCTAAAAGTCACAGTATACAGTGGGGATTCTAATTAAACTTACAGGAACTTTTCAGAATCTAACTTGAGTTAATAAGTCAAATTTTTTTTTTTGTCATATTCATGGAAGCTTGGCAGGGGGACAGAGGTGAAGAGGCACACCAGGTTTTTACAATTAAACATGTGATTTTTAGTTGATTGGTTTAAGATTTCAAGTGGGAATTCTAAGTAAACATGTCTTTTAAGCCAGATTAATACAGCACAGTGATTTAATCATTACTATAATTTAAAGGGAGACACAAGTTCTGTTACAGATGAAAGGATTCCTGAGCTGTGAAAAGAAACAAAGATCATTCCTCTTCAGTGTTTCTAATTTATCTGCAAGCAAACCAAACCAACCCAACCAGAGAGACCAGTTTCTTAACATTTTCTGTCTCCAAAAATAAGTTCTTTAAGACTGGGTGTTATTTAGATGATGTGTCAGGACAGCATACAATTTCTAAATTTAAAATGTTAAACTTAAGTCTATAGATGCTCAGAAATGTAGAATACACTTTATAATTTAAATCCATATGAATAGACTTGCAGATGCATTCATTTTTAATTTTATGAGAATTTTCAAGATTTTTTTTAATAAAACATTTAAAAAACGGAATGAATCTTCAGGTTAATTCATGGAACTTTATTGTAAATAACTCTTGATGTGTCTGACTTAAGGACTCTAGGTGGAACTAGGCTGTTTCCTGTTTGGGTTCCTGCTCCCCTGTTGTTTGGGTCAAAGTTCTTTTGGGCCAGAAAGGACACTAGATTTTTTACAGTGATAAAGATATACAAAAGGAATTGATTTGCAAGAGCTGGATATTCCTCTATCACCTGTATTTGAATTCTGTAAATAACTATGTGAAGTAGGTTGGGATTAGAGCTGCATTAAATGAGAGCCTCTTTTACAAAGTTTTGTTTTTTCCATATAGTTTCTTCATGGTTCAAGCAGCGATTTCCCCATTAGTTATTTAGATCAAGAGCACACTTATGAACTGTCTCTCAATTTCGGTAAAGACTTTCCCTTTGTTCATCATTCAAATAAAGATTATTAACACTTTATTACCTGTCTATTGAAATTCAAAATTCACTGAAATTCAATTAAAAAATTTTGAATGGGAAAAGCTTCCTGGATGGGAATCCAAATATTTGCCTTGTCTCACATGTCCTACATTTTCTTAGAAATGTGCTATAGTTCTGTGCATTAAAGCTTTAAATGAGAATTACTCTACTTCCACCATGATATCATTGTACATCTCCTGATGGATGATTCTCTATTCCTAGCTGTCTGAAACATTGTATTATCAAATGTGTGCTTAAGTGTCTGTATTTATTGGTCTCGTTTTTCAAGCCACCTGGAAGCTGTGACAAGCTAATTTCTAAGACTTATCGAAAGTTTGGCATGACTCGTTTGGATTTGTACCTCTCGGTCCAGCAAGGACAATAAGCCCTGTTTTGCTGGACGGGCTGAGATGGATTTAATCTTTTAGTTCAGTAAAGGAGAATTGTTGGCTTTTATTGCCAAATTAAGCACAAAATAGAACAAATTAGAAGCAGAGCAGGGTGAGAGGTCATAGACCGTGGTTAGAGAAGAAAACAAACACCAGAGAATGTTCAGGAAAAAAATTATAAATAGATCACTATAATTACTATACTTTAAAGCATGACTTCAGTGTGATCACTGCCTTGAGATCAGATTTGTGTAGTCCTTGAAATATGTTTATTTTATCAAATGTAAAGTGAGCCTTAAAAATGCCAGACTTTTCACAACAAGTCTGAAATCACTTTTAGTTTCATTAATTCAAATACTGCTTCTTTGTTTTTCTCTTTACATAAAAAAATATAAAGGAACCTTCAGTTCAAAATAGTTTCTGGTTGGCTAATGAACTGTATAGAAGCGTACTGAACTAATGTAAAAAGGTCTTCAGGTGGATACCCTAGTCAGAAAACTCAAACTCATGCTCGACTTTTATTTCTTTATTTGTTGTTTCTGTATCATTAAATGGAGATGGTTAAACTATCAATAGGTGATAAAGTCTTTTTATAGACTTCAGTAATTGTTGTTCCTATTTATTGCTCTGACTCTGCGGCTCTTCATTGTATCCCAGATGAAGTGGAAAAGTACCTTGCCCTGCTGGCTGCTATCTTCCTGTTTAGTAAACAGTACTTGCAGGAGAATCTGAGGCATTCGCTTCTCTATTGCCTGTTCCCTCTCTTTGTTTATTGCCAAATTATTACTGAAAATCCTCCTGGCTAAAGATGCATCAAGTTAGATTGTTTCATAGCTGGCTAAGTCCTGTGGAGCTTTTTAGTGTACAGGATTACTCTGTTCTTCTGAAGTGAATATCCGCTGCAGTAGGAAAGAATGGATGGTTTCTTATTGGGGATAGTAAACAAAGTAATATTTAAAATAAAAAACTTTGTGTTAGTTCATTGTGGTTTATCTTGGTCCTAAGCCATAAGAACTGAAAGCATTGTCATGATCAGGAAATCTGTACTCAACATGGAATGTCACCGGAAATTAGTGTACGTGATGAACACGGCTAAAGAACATTTTTAGACAGTCATTTCCAGTCACAGTTGCAGGCCTTGCAGAGATGAGGGCCACTTTAACAAGCTAACAATTGAGGAAACATTCAATGTTTTTATTTTAAATCTGCACTCTATGAAGAGCCATTTCATTAAAACGGAAATAAATAAATACTAACATTAGTAAATCGTCAATAAATATTCCATTAACCCATTTAGGCCGGGAAAGCATTACCGCATTTCTACCATTCAAGCCGGGGGTGCTGTTGCGTCATTCTACCATTGACGCCGGGAGAGCATATAAGTCAAGCAAGAAGAAAGAAGTTTTTTTCAAGCAAACATGGAGGAGTTTGACAGAGAAGAGTTGTCGGAAGGCAGTGATTTTGAGGAGTGTGTCGGCTTTGATGACGGTATAGATGAAAATGATGACTTTGAACGCGCTGAACCAATCGAACTACCACCGCAATGCACGGAGTGTTTTCAACCGCACACCTGGAGTGAAAGTTGATTTGCCTGCAGACGCCACACCGCTGCAGGCATTTGAGCATATTCTTAATGAAGAACTTTGGATGCATCTAGTTACCGAGACGAATAGGTACAGTGACCAAACAAACCAAACTCCAACAAGAGCAAAGATGGCAAAGTGGTCACCCGTGACTGTGACGGAGATGAAGACATTTATTGGGCTGTGTATGTAAACCTCTCTTCAGGACGCAGTTCCCCCAAAATATGTCCCGGGACAGATTTGTGGCCATCTGGAGGTAGGTTGTATGCAATT